CCTGCTGAGGTCTGCCAGAGATCTCCCAGACTAATGCAATGTTTGAAAGCCATGAATCTTATTTAGGATTCCAGGCAGTCCTCAGAATATCCATGACACAGGAAATCATCAAGGAAGATAAGGTTTTTTCTGTATTCTTCAGGGCCCTTTAAGTGAGTGTCTACCTCCTGCTAGCTTTATCTTGGGGCCAAGAAGGGGGTGGGGTCAGCTCAGAAAGTTCCCACTCTGTACACCTGTGCAGTGTCAGCAGGCTCAGCTCAATTCTGTGAGTGCTGGCCCCATCCCAGCCTCAGGTCACAGTTTCAGCACTGGTTACTTAGTCGTGAGTTGCTAAAAACATCTTTATATATGATTCACTTTAGCTCCAGACTGGCATTATAAAGGCATCCTCTTGGGAATCCAGAAGACAGTCTTAAGCCTCTGACTTGACTATGGGATTTAGGCGCTTGAAATGAGTTTCTGTTCTCTCTGCTTTCTTTTCTTTGTCAAACTGTCATTGGTGCCTGGAGCAGAGACAAACTTTCATAGTTCCGGGTCCATATATAATATGTATAATGTATAGACTTCTACAAGGCTGTCTCAGTTTTTACCTCCTACAGTTTGGGTGACTTGTATGATTTTGCCTGTGGGAATAGGACTTTCACCATGCTCTCCTTCCTGTGTCTTACTCTGAGTCTTTGCATCGAGGACTTTTTTCTTTTTTTTTTAAGAGAAAATTTTGCTATTGGGTGTGTGCGCTCACCAGAGAGACAGAACGTGAGAAATAACCCCCTGGGAGGATGGCCATGCCACAATCCCTTCTCCTCTATTCTCCTTTCTGGACTTTGGGCATTCACGCACACACACCCAGGGTGAGGTTTAAGAACCAGGCCCAGGACTCAAACTGCAATCGACTCCCTGGGAGTCCAGCGATGTAACCATTACGTCATCTACTGGTCCCACAAGGACCCTTTTCTGTGCCTAGCATCTGAACTCCTTGAGGCAGCTTCTGCTCCCTCTGACCTGGGAAGGCTGCCCTTGCTCTGTGCTCTCATAGCACTTGAATATATTTAACTCTTATTTTCCTTTCCCTGTCCTTTGAATACCTGCCAACTTTTTTGTTTCCTTCTTCTAGAGTTTGTATCCCTTTTTTTTATTTTTGTTTTCTATCTATCTCTCAGGCATCAAAGAGTTTCAATAAAGTAAGATTTTTTTTTTTTTTTGGAGAGGTTTTTGCTATAGGGTGGGTGCACTAACCAGAAAGACAGAGAGAGACAGAAAGTGAGAAATCACCCCCCAGGGAGGATGGCCATGCTGCAGTCCCTTCTCCATTCTCCTCTCAGGATCTTGGACATGCACGCGCACGCGCCTGGCGTGAGTTTAAGCCATCGGGTCCAGGACTTGAACCACGGTCTGCTACATGGGAATCCAGCAATATAGCCGTTACACCAATTGTTGGTCCAGTCAATAAAGTAAGATTTACATGAATCTCCCATGAGCCATTGAGGCAATACTTCATGTATGACATTTTTCATCTCCTATTTGTAATGTTATTACTGTGGTTGTTTTTATTAGCCCCAAAGTCAAGAGTCAGCTGGAACCCTTGTGCTACTTACTCATAGCCTGTGACTATCCTGGTTTTCAGTGCCTTAGTTGTACTATCTGATCATTACTCTTGATTGTTGCCTTAATTGAATTGTAAGCTTTTGTGGAACAGGCATCACTTTTTAATTAATCACAATTTCCATTTAGCATAAGTAGGTAGTAGCTAACATAAAGATTTGCACTTAGTTTTACTTATATGTTCATTTAGTGAAGGAATAAGTGTGGTTTAAAACTTACTGGGAAAGCAGATGTTTTTGTTTTTGTGTTTTAACTCCTAAATTAGAAAGATAAGAAAAAGATATCCCAGGCTCTTGTTTTCTCCATTTCCTTATCAAGGCACATTTTTCCCAGTGGTTTTCATCTATTTCTTACTCCAAGCAAGCAGTTAAACCTGTAGCCACATCCCCTTTTGTAAGGTGCCCTGCCGCTGTTGGGCATTGCTGTAGCTTTGTACCAGTTTGTGTGGCTTGGTGTGGGGACATCTGTTTGGAACCTTTATCTTATTAAGACTGCTAAATACTCAGCCTGAGTAGATGGGTTTCTGAAGTCTTCCCGTTCCTTTCTCTCTGTCTCTTTTATTCTTTTAGTTTATTTACTTATTTCTTCCTTGAGATAGACAGAGAGGGAATAGCAGGGTACCCCTCCATGCCACAGTCCCTTTCCAGCCTCTGCCAACCCTGATCATGGGCAGGTGTGCAAACCTAACATATCCAGGAAGGCCTCAGGATGCGAACCCAGAACCTTCCTATGTGGGTCCAGCAGTACAGAGTGTTGTGTTACGCTACACCTGTGGCTAGTCCACAGTCTTTCCATTTCCTAATTGGACACTACCAATTCTCACATTGTTTTTCTTCAATC